TTGTTGCTATTTATTCACATCTGATATGACAATCGGGGAAGAACTCTTGAACTTTTCAATTCGAGTCCCTGTAATTTCATTGTTTTGGCAAAATATACCCAATTTCGAATTGGGGTAATTTTTTTTTGTGACGAAGTGAAGGTGTTTCAATTCGAATCCCTAAAGTTTCAGAATTTTGACAATTTCTGCCCTTTTTCGACTTGGGGGTAAAATTGTGTAAAGTGGGAAGAATTTTTAGATTCAGTCCATGCAATTGATGCGAATTGATGCTTTATGCCAAATTTTGCATTTGGGGTAAAGTTTCACATTTGAAGCTGATATGTCGCAACGGGTCCATGTAAAATTTGCAAAACTGACAGTTATAACCCAACTTTCGAATTTCTTGCAACTCTCACCTAAAAGTCAAATTTTGAAGATTTTTCTCGACTTTTCGTGATTATTTTTCGTACAAGATTTTCGTGGTCTCATTTTTGTCACATCGAGGTGGAGTTTCGTTAAGTTTATTCCTCGAGCGCTTCTCATCATTTGTGGGGTTTATAATCATTTGTTGCTTATAAAAAGAGGAAGAATGTAGAAATGTGTATTCAAAGCTTCTCGGGTATTCCTTTTCAAAGCGGATTTGAAGACCAATGTTACTTCGACGAGGAGTTGGGTCTTGATCGCTTTAAGCTCATTTGAAAATTAAAGACGGAACATCCAATCCTAACTTTGAGGTGGAAAATGTTAGGGTGCAAAGTTCTTTTTGGATGTGACTTGCCCTTTTGTGATGTGTAATGGATTTAACATTTTCTATAAATAGGAAGTGAGTAGCTACCATTTTACGTCAGATCCATTTAAGAGACTAGACAAATGAGAGAATTATTGTAATACCCACTTTGTAATAGTTTACTAGATCTAATGAGAGCTTAAACATACTTTATTTACTTTTTTATATTCTTCATGTTTATTTGATCTTTTACAACTCCGTACATATCATCATAAATGAGTCACTACAAAATTAATTATTAGCCTAAGGCTATCATTTTTTTTTGAGCTGGTGAAATGAAAGATGAATCGAAACCTATAAGAATTTTTTCAAATTCATAGAATCTTTAATTTCACAATAAATGACAATATGACATCCCAATTCATAAAGATAAGGATAAAACCACCAATAACTAATGGTAGAGTTGTGTCACTAAAATAACAAAATCTACACTACAATAAGACCGAAGATAATAAAAGCAACTAAAACAACATAGATGATAAGATTGAAGATAATGACTTTTAAATTTATTACCTTTTCGTACTTTCTAATAAAAAAACATGATTTAAAACAACTAAACACATTACATTTAATAAAAAACATCTTTTCCTCGGTCGGACCCATAGTTGCTTTTCTTCATCCCATCTATGACCAATTTGATAAACGTTTAAACCGAAGTCCGAAACATTTTGGTCATAGGAGAGCAAGCAAACCTCTATAATCTACATTGTCTTTGTAACATGCAATAATATATATGCCTATCCAAAAAATTCACATATATTTATTTTTGTTAAGAGTTAATTACACGAATGGTCCTTATGGTTTAGGGTAATTTGCATGTTTGGTCCCTAAATTATTTTTTTTAACTCGGAAGGTCCCTACAGTTTGTTTTTGTTGCGCACTTGGTCCCTGTCTTACCTAAAAAATTATTTTACCCTTGATTTTTTAATTTATTTAAATAAACACACCCCAACCCCACTTCCACCTCACCTTACTTTACCTTACTTACTCCACTTTATTTAAATAAATTAAAAAATCAAGGGCAAAATAATCTTTTTAGGTAAGATAGGGACCAAGCGCGCAATAAAACCAAACTGTAGGGACCTTCCGAGTTAAAAAAGTAAGTTAGGGATCAAACGTATAAATTATCCCAAACCATAGGGATCATTTATATAATTTATTCTTTTGTTAAATATATGAATTAAACAGAATGCCAAACTCTTTTGTATTCGATTCATAAATAATCGACCCAACCCACTAGATACTAGTCTACAACGAAATGGGCCTATACCAATTCTTTAAAGCCCAGCCCAAATCAAGCTTGTTGAAATAGCATTATAATAGAGTTAGGGTTTTCATTTCTCTGAGCCGACTCCTAGCATCAGAGGTTACATTCACAGCTGCCGGAGTTTTCCATTGTAGGTGCGTCTTCTCTTATTCGTGGTTTCTTTCCAAAAAGTTAGTAGATTTTGTACTGGTTTTATAATACTGATTGACAGTTGCGTAGAGTTATCGTTTTTTCTGCTATCGTTAGTTCTTCAGCGTTGTATGCTTTGATTTTATTACACTTGAGTAGATTGTAGTTTCGATCTGAATCTGTTCTTAACTCCGTGTTGATAATTTCGACGGAATTACTTCTTTACACAGGAATTTTTGTAGTATAGTTGTGACTGTTTACGTGTTTACGTGTTTAACGATTTTTGTTTTCATCCTCAATGCTGGTGAATCGTTTATGGTGAAATCATATCTTAATTGTTAGCTTATACTCTTCATCGATCCGATACTCAAATTAAACGTCTCAAGTCGTTAATTTAAAGCCTTTTGTAACATCTCTTACCAGAAAATTTCAAGCTATATCACATCAGTTGACCTCATAACACAAATTCCCGAACTTTGTTCTTATAATGATCACATGTTAAAGGATTTTACTCGGAAATATGATTTTACAACTTCACATTATTGTTATCTACTTCGTTTAATTCCTTTTCTCAAATAATCAGATCCATCAAAATGTATACTTCAAGGAAGAAAATTCAGAAGGACAAGGATGTTGAGCCCACTGAATTCGAGGAGTCTGTTGCTCAAGTAATCAATAATTCACTTTTTCTTCTTTTTCATTAACAATCTCTTCAAACTTTTTCTATCTACTAACTTTTGTATACGTAGGCATTGTTTGATTTGGAAAACGCAAACCAAGACCTTAAGAGCGACTTGAAAGACCTCTACATCAACACTGCCACGTAAGCACACCACTCCCCACAATTCCAATACATATTTTTTTTTATCATAATTGATTAATTGTTCTTTATCTTCTCCCCCTTTTGAAGCCAAATTGATGTGTCTACAAATCGCAAGGCTGTAGTGATTCATGTTCCATACAGATTGAGGAAAGGCTTTCGCAAGATTCATCTCAAGCTTGTGAGGGAGCTTGAAAAGAAGTTCAGTGGAAAGGTAAAGTTTTTATTTTTCCATTTTCTTGATTTAATTCAAACTGATAAAATGGGTTTAATAATTTAAATGAATTTCAGGATGTGGTTCTGATTGCAACAAGAAGAATGGTGCCTCCACCTAAGAAGGGTTCAGCTGCTACAAGGCCACGTTCACGTACTTTGACAGCTGTCCATGATGCCATGCTGGAAGACATTGTTTATCCAGCTGAGATTGTTGGGAAGCGTATCAGATACAGAATTGATGGATCCAAAATCATCAAGGTAATTTAATTAATTAATTGTTTTTTGGGTAAATGTTTCAATGATTTTTAAATGTTTTGTTTTTGTGTTTAGATTTATTTGGATCCAAAGGCGAGAAATGACACAGAGTATAAGCTGGAGACATTTGCTGGTGTTTACAGGAAGCTTTGTGGGAAAGATGTTGTGTTTGAGTATCCAATCACAGAGGCTTGAAAAGTATGAATTTGTGTCGTTTCATTTTTGTTGTCTTTTTTAATGTCTGAAGTTTCAACTTAAAAGAATCAGATTATGCTTATTTTCTTTGTAGGAAAATACTGTTTTGATTGAAAATTTTCTATTTAGTTTGTTTGGCTTAAGTTATTGGTTGTTGAACTTGCATTTTGTATGAAGATGAGCCTTTCTTGAATTGCTTTTTCAAAATTTCTTCGTAAACATCGAGTATTTGAACATTCATTTAAATATTTCTAAAAGAGAGTTATCCAAATCCAACACAACATGATTGTGAAACACGGCAATGTATTTTTCGATAGAAGTCTACAACTTTGAATTGTAGCATTAAATCAAATTTCATAGTTACTTTGCTTAAGTTTTGTTTAATTACTAATGACTTCACTCATAGATTGGTTTTTTCTCAATGCAAATAACCTTTTGTTGTCCCTCTTGGTGATGACTTTCAACATTACCCAAATGTTTTTACACAATGCTTTTTCTTTTATTACACCAAGTGTTAAATGTTTTGGTTACAAATGTATCTTTTCCACCATGCAAAAGAGTGATTGGGTTGAAAAAAATGTAAAGAGTAAATTACAAGAATGGTCTCTATGGTTTAGGGTAATTTACGTGTTTGGTTTTTAATTTATTCTTTTAATGCGGAAAATCTCTACTATTTGTTTTTGTTACAGGCTTGATCCTGTTTTTGTTACGCATTTGGTTTCTGTTCTACCTAAATTGACTATTATTTGAATAGGAAAAAATTGGTAGGATAAGTAAGATAATGGGATGAGGATGAGGTTGATGGTGTATTTATTTAAATAAATTAAAAAATCAGGGGCAAAATAGTTTTTTTAGGTAAGAGAGGGATCATGTGCGTAACAAAAACAAACAGTAGAGACCTTCCGAGTTAATAGAATTTCAAATGGAGAAATTCCAAAGTTATTTAGAATATGATAGATTTCAACAACACCATTTTTTTTCTAAGTGTGGAAATTCATCAAACCATTCCACAAAAAATAGTCTTAGCTTCTTACCAAATATCTTGATCGAAAATCATGTTCCATTGGTTGGCAAGGTCTATCATGTTCAATGCCATAATTAATATACTTCTAATAAGTTTTAAATTGGTAAAATTAAATGGTAAGTATTTAATATTAACATAAACCATTAAAATATATAAATGTTAGGGTTTTTGTGTCGTTTCCTTAACCTTCGATACGTATAACTTAATATATGGTATTCGACACATTTTGATCTAACTAATTACTAAAGGAAATTGAAATCAAACATTATAGGTGTTAATTGCCAATTAAGATAGTAATGGGTGTGTATATGTTGTAATGAAATCTTAAAGGGTGTATACCAAAAAAATAGATATTCAAAGGGTTTATTTAGAAAACGCTCAATCTCAAACTCTGAACTCTGAAGTGATAAAAATGTACCCACAAACGCTTTTCTTCAAACCAAAACAATGGCTGCTGCTGCTCATGGTTGTCTTCTCGCAAGCATACCCACTACGAGAATCACCAAAATGCCCCAAGCTATTCTCAGCAAGGAATACAAAATGAAGGCGCCATACAAGTTGAAGCAGGGGCAATCTCGTATTTTCCACAAGCTCCCTTCTGGTCTCAACATGGAGGTTATCTACCAGAAATGTCTGCAAGATGATAAAAGTAAAACACAGAAATCATGGAATCCACCTCCATTAGTGTTCGTCCATGGAAGCTTTCATGCCGCTTGGTGCTGGGCCGAACACTGGTTGCCTTTCTTTTCCCAAAATGGGTTCGATTCTTACGCCCTCAGCCTTTTGGGTCAGGTTCAATTCCCCCTTCCTCCGTTGTTTCATTTTTAGGGTTTCAATTTTAGCTTTCACCATTTCTATGTACGTGAAAGTTGAAATTCGAAGGTCAATACTCAATTGGCTCAAATTATCACAAAAAAGTATAATCGCGTCGAATTAAAGTGCAAAATGTTTCTTTTTATACTCATTCAAATCACAATTTGAAACATTTCCAGGGTGAAAGCGATGCTCCAGAGGGTTCGGTGGCAGGTTCTCTTCAGGTACATTTTATCCATCATCGCCATTGATAATTCATCCGATTTTTTGCAACAAATTCTGTAATTAATTCGTTGCTTCATCAATAGACACACGCAGCCGATATTGCTGATTTCATCCAGAAACAAACAGAATTATCACCACCGGTGTTGATTGGACATTCATTCGGAGGACTCATCGTCCAGTACTACATCGCCAATGAATACTCTGGTTCGTGTTTTTTTAGATCTGTGAAGATGAGGAAATTTGAATCGATTCATGTGAAAATCGAAAATTCATGCAATTTAGGCTCGATTTAATCGTTGATTTGCAGAACTCGCCGGAGCTGTGCTTGTTTGCTCTGTGCCGCCTACCGGAAATAGGTTGCTGTTCATGTTTTACGATTATCTCCTTTTCTTTTCCTGTTGACACGTGTCACAGCTAACAAGTTCTGTTTTCATGGTCAGTGGCTTAGTATGGAGGTATCTCTTTTCAAAACCTGTTGCTGCCTTTAAGGTAGATATGAATATGTAAGGGTAAAATTGTCATTTAATCAAGAGAAATTAAATATCCTTCTACACATCCTTATACCCATGTTAAATGATGAGATGTGTTATATTTAATGAAAGTAATAATATTTTAATTTACTTGTTACCATTTAAAATGGGTAGGAGAGGATGATAAATAGGAAGAAAATGTAAGAGAATATTTAATTTCTCTTTAGTCAAAATCAGATAGTTTATATAAGGTTAAAATTGTCATTTAGTCAAAATCAGATCCTTTATATAAGGGTAAAATTGTCATTTAGTCAAACTCAGATCCTTTATATAAGGGTAAAATTGTCATTTAGTGAAAATCAGATTTTTATGTAAGGTTAAAATTGTCATTTAATCAAAATCAGATCCTTTACTAATTTTGTCATTTATTGTCATTAGGCAAAATCAGATCCTTTATATAAGGGTAAAATTGTCATTTAGTCAAAATCAGTTCCTTTATGTAAGGTTAAAATTGTTATTTAGTCAAAATCAAATCCTTTACTAAATTTGTCATTTGGTCAAAATCAGAACCTTTATATAAGGGTAAAATTGTCATTTAGTCAAAATCAGATCCTTTACTAAATTTGTCATTTGGTCAAAATCAGAACCTTTATATAAGGGTAAAATTGTCATTTAGTCAAAATCAGATCCTTTACTAAATTTGTCATTTGGTCAAAATCAGAACCTTTATATAAGGGTAAAATTGTCATTTAGTCAAAATCAGATCCTTTACTAAGTTTGTCATGTATTGTCATTTGGTCAAAATCAGAACTTTTAAATAAGGGTAAAATTGTCATTTATTCAAAATCAAATTGTTTACGGAGGCTAGAAAAATAAAAATAAATCTTTTTTGTGCAAAAACACTTTAATAGAGAAAATAACAACATATAATAAAAGAAAAATAAACATTCATATATATAGCTTACCAGATTAAGTCGTTATAATATGTTTGGTGTTTATTTAGGTCACAATGAGCTTAGCAGCCAAAGCTTTTCAGACATCTTTACCCCTTTGCAAAGAAACATTTTTCTCTAAAGGAATGGAAGATCATCTTGTTTTGCGGTTTGTTTTAATGATTTATTTTTTATGGATTATTTTGTGTGATACAAAAAAAAAAAAAAAAAAAAAAATCATTTTGTTGTTAATTTCAGTTATCAAGAATTGATGAGAGAAAGTTCAAGAATGCCATTGTTTGATTTAAGAAAACTTAATGCTTCACTTCCGGTTGCATCATCTGAATTTACTCGACTTCTTGTCATGGGTGCAGCTGATGACTTCATTGTGGTAGTAAATGTTAATGTTTTTATGTGTTTTAGGGAAAAGGGTAAAATGGTCATTTACTATATTTTGATGTTTTCTAGGATGAGAAAGGACTTGAGGAGACCGGGAGTTTTTACTGTGTGGAACCGGTGTGTGTTGAAGGTGTTGCGCATGATATGATGTTGGATTCTTCATGGGAAAAAGGGGCACAATTGATCTTGTCGTGGATAAAAAGCTTATAGCATGATAGTGCAACTAATAGTGTTATCTATGTTTCTATTTTTCAATTTTATGGTGGTGAAATGACTAAAAGGTCCTTATTGGCACAAGGTGAAGTGTAGATTATGTTGGGATAAGGGAGGATTACAAGGCGTTTTATGGAATTAGAGAGATTTATTTAATTCCGTGTAATGTTGAAGAGTTAATTATGTCAATGCTATCATAAACCCCTAAGACAAATCCTACAACATATTCATGATTAACCTTGTGAAGATTTACACCAAAACCATAACCAATTAGATTAAAAGACTTGAGCAAATAAATGCACCACCACTTGATAGGAAAAATAAAAACATCAATGAATCTCACTTTTTGATTCTCTAAATGTACTAATTAAAGCCTTGGTGATAGCATGAACAAGTATCCCAATTGGACAAAACAACAAACAAAGAGAAACCGAATGTCGCGTCTCGATCTCATTCTCCAATCCATCCTGATACACCTGTCTGTTTCCACCAATCAAAACCACAAGTTAGTTTCAATCGGTACAACTGTTGTTTCATATACTGTGTTTGATATGCACCAGACTATTTTTGGCATGCACCAGACTTATACACAATGGTACATAATTTACAAATTTTCATCCATCTATAAAGGTGGGACAATGAATGGCTACTGATATCTTGTCTGTGCAAAAAAACGTAAATACCCTCCTACCTTGCGGCGTAGAGGTCAACGGCTAACAAATGGATCCAAGCCGAGGCTAATGTCATCTCATTAGAAAACATCTTAGCTACACCCGGAAGCTGAAAGTAAACCATGGTAAAGTTAAAAATCGGCTATTATCATTTAGCAAATCACTCGGGCGGAAATTCTTACCTCGGGCAGCCAATATTTGCTTGCGAACATCAACCGAAATGTATCCGGGGTCCACGAAAGATAAAGAAGATACGAGTATAAAACGCCAAGCAATACATATGGTATGCTACTTCTCATACACTTTTTAGTCTGCAAGGTAAAACCTGTCAGTGTCCCACATCAGCTAGACACAGTCCCATATAGGGAATTAGGGAAAGTTTAAAGCTTAGTTCTTTATGTATTATGTCAAAAAGAAATATCTATATATAGTTTATAAGATTAATTCTTGTTTTTATAAAGTCAAATGAAAAAGCATTAAATAGTTATTTGGATACCTTTTTTTTTTCTTTTTTTTTTGTTTGCTTTATAACATTGTAAAATTTACCAATTCGGATTTTGGAGCTGCGACCATAAGAGTGTAGAAGGGAAGAACAGCAGCAGTTCCTAATGTAAAAGCATCACTCGCTAATTGCATACTAGCAAAACCTACATGAACAAAGATCAAATCGAACTATAAAATGATAAGATTAACAAAGTTCTAGATGTTTAATCGATAACTTATCTCATGATAAACAAAGGGTAAGAATGGATTACATGATACTTGCAGTTTTGACTGGTTTTGACGCAGATTGAAGCTTTCGTTTGGTATGATTATAGCTCCTGATCCTCTCATAAAACTCCATTGATTTCTTAGCTTGTTTCCGATATGTATTCCGTAAAATTCGGTGTTGATGGGTTTAAGAGCGAATGTGGATTTGGAGTGTTTGGATGCAGTCGTCAAGAGGTTAATCTACAACAAAGATATAACATTTATGAACCCTAAATTGCCAATCGAGTTCAAAAATGGAAACGGAAAAGCAAACCAATTCAATTGGGGGAAAAGTACAAACAAACAAGTTATATAAGTATATGAACATCATAACATATATACGCAAAGTGATGATTCAATCCGCAAACACACAACACACAAAATAGATGATATAAACAGAGTGAAATGGGCACAAATAACCAAATTGATACGAAGAAAGCAAAATTAATCATACCCAGTTGGTAAATCGGAAAACAAATCATGAATATGCAAAGGTGAAGTATTACGACATTTGCAAATACACAAATTGGAAAAATCAACCAAATTCAGCACCATGAACGTGAAATATCGAACCCAGATCGCAAAATGGCAAATAAATCATGAATGTTGAAGGTGAGGTTGTTTTAGCATATGCAGACACACGTAGATACAGTAAAATGGGAAAGAATCAATACCTTGAGTGCCAATTGATGGTGACAAAGGCAAGAAGAGATAGCCATTATAGATGTAAGAAAGTAAGTGAGATTGAGAGATGAAATGGGTTACGATTCTTCATGAAGTTGTCGTTATATAAAAAAGAATTTAGAAGTGGTAGTACAATCATAGATACAAAAGAGATGAGTAGTCTTGTTTTCCTTTCCTTTCAGAAAAAAGAAATGAAAAGTTTTGTCTGTTGAGTGAATATTCATCTCACCCAATTTAATTTAGTTTTCCTTTTATTTTAATGAAGAGAGGATATAAAATTGGTTTTGTGTATGAATATTTTCAAAAAGAGAAACAAAATTACATCTTAATTTTATTATGTTATGTGTATATCTATATGTTACCAAATATATAACTACTTCAAAACATAAAGATTCAAATTTCAAAGGTGTAATCCAACACTATCCGATATCCATGTCATTTTCCAAACAAAATTTGTTATCGCATGTATTTAGTTTTGTAAATTATGATTTTAGTCCTCAAGGTTTGTTGCATCCTCAATTTCATATGGTAACCTCACTTCAAGCCTCATATTTAGTTTTGTAAATTACGATTTTAGTCCTCAAGGTTTGTTGCATCCTCAATTTCATATGGTGTCACTTAAGGCCTTCAACGGTTGATTTCAATGACAAGAAACTCACTATTAACATAAAATATTGATTTTTACATGAAATTTTTATTATTTTTAATTATTTTATTATATTTATAATTTTGTTGCAATATCAATCAAATGATAATTTTTTCATATTCTCTTGGTAACCATTTTTCTCAAATTAAATCACTAAGTTCACCAAAATTTTGATTTTGACACCGAGTTTCAAAATGCAAGAAACTCATTATATTACCATAAAATTTCGATTTTGATATTGAGTTTATTTATTTATTTATTTATTTATTTTCAATTATATCATTACATTTACAATTTTGTTGCAATATTAACCAATTGACCGATTCAGGAGATGATGCGGTTTAGAAGCTCGGTTTGTACAACAATTAAATGAAGGTCAGTCCAATAATTCAAACTCACTTACAAGTTAGGAAAAAGGGCACAGTCACCCTTCTAGAAGATGTTATTGTAATTTAGAAGCTCGATTTGTACAACAAATAATTAAAGACCCCTACAAGGTCGATTTAGTGGTTCAAACTCACTAAGCATCTCCTTGATAAACCTTGTAGGGGTCTTCATTCACTTGTTGTACAAATTAAGCTTCTCAACCACAATAGCATCTCATTAAAGGGTGAGTACACCCTTTTCACTGACTTTTAAGTGAGTTTGAACCACTAGATTGACCTTTACGCCATTTGTGAATAAATACTCTGACGAGAATTAAACATTAAACATTATAATAAAAGTGTCACCTAAATGGATGAGTAAGTCCTTCTCGCTGACCTTTAAGTGAGTTTGACCCACTTCTTCGACCTAAAAAGATATGTGAAATTGGGTTCGATGCAAACACGATATTTAAAACTCAATCCTACCACATAAGATCGGATGTGGCTTCCACATCACAATATTGTCATGTCATTTTTTTGTTGTGAACATCGAGCTTCTTAACCGCAATAATATCTCTTGAAAGGGTGACTATGCCCTTTTCGCTGAATTGTAAGTGAGTTTGAACCATTATACTGACCTTTATTTATTTTTCGTACAAATCAAGCGTCTAAACCATAATAGCATCTTCTGAATCGGTCTGTTGGTTGAAATAGCAACAAAACTGAAAATATAACCCATAATTGAGAAAAAAAAAACCCGGTGTCAAAATCAAAATTTTGTGATAATATAGTGACTCTCTTGAAATTTGAAACTCGATCTTAGTATCGAATTTTGGTGAACTTAGTGACTTTATTGTAATTCGGGAAAAGTGGTTACCGGGAGAACATGGAGAACCGATCAAGAACGAAAGAGGTAAGTTTATGCACGTGGTTGTGAAAAGTGAGAACAAAAGGTGAAAAATAGTGCTAAGTATGCAATGTGATTGCATAAGAGTATATAGAGTAATAGAAGTCCCTTAACAACCTTTTTGAATAGAGAAATGAAGAAAGATTCGCCATCACATTGAAAATGCAAAGAAAAGGAAAGTAGATAGTTATTTCAGTAAGAGGTTAAAGAAGAAAATAACCTTAGAAATTAGGGATGAGCATCGGAACCGGGTACCCGCTTTTGGAACCGGAACCGCCTCGGAACTGCCGTTTTTGGAACTGTAATCGCCGTAAGTGGTTCCGGTTCTGGTACCTAAAGTTATGGAACCGTCTAAGCGGTTACAGTTCCGGTTCTCATTTTTTCGGAACCGCTACCTGCTGGGTACCCGCCGGAACCGGCTTATGTATATATATATATATATATATATATATATATATATATTACTTAGACCGATTTAGAATATATTGGTTCGATTTTGTCCGTCACTAAATTGACTTGATTTGGATCGAACTAAATTGCGGTTTTATCGATAAAAGTTAATAAAATTAATGTAACCGGGTTACCCGCTCCCAGAACAGGAACCGCCAGTTCCGGGACTGGTTCCAAACATTTAAGAACTGCCTAGAGCGGTTCCGGTTCTAACTTTCTAGGAACCACCGGTTCCGGTTCTCTCCAAATGAGGTGGGTACCCACTTATGCTCATCCCTATTAGAAATGGGTCGTTAAGTGAGAAAATGACCAAGAGAGTAAGAAAATATTTTGAGGATGAAATCTCTTTAAGGAGGGTAGATTGTAAGAACCCTAAATTAGAGAAAGTTGACTTTTAGTCAAATATTGACCAAAAGGGTAAAATAGTCATTTATGAGAAAAAGATGAGATTATGAAGTTGTGACTTCATAAAAATGGCCAAGATAAGTTTAAGGCACGTAGAAGAGGGTATATGAGGAAGTTCAAGAGAAAAAATGCATGAGAAGATGCATTTTGGCCAAAAGGGTAAAATGAATATTTATATGTTTTTGGGCTAACTTTGTGACTTAATAGATTAGAACCGTATTAAGTCAGTAATAAGTGACTTAATAGAATTGTAGAGTCCCATCTTAGTGTGAATATAAACATCATAGAAAAGCGGGTTGGAAACAAAGAAGTTATGAAGGTTAGAAGTTGGGGTAAAAGATCGATGTCCCCAAAACTGGAATGAAATCATCAATGCAGTTTGCTGATTCCTAGTTACTATAGGGCGGAACATAACTCGCCACGGTGCGGTGAGTGGATGCAAACATAGTTCTTCTTTGTAAGAGAGAACGACAATGTACTATGCTTCTGTGATGCGGTGTACGGGCACCACAATGCAGTGACCAAAGTAGGATGCCATTGAGAAAGAGCACCATAACGTGGAAAGTAGAACTCCATGACGTGACAAGCATGTGGCTGCTGTTGACCATAGTTCAATTAGCCACCACAGCACGTTGAGGATTTAAGATGGGTTACATACCTGTTAGAGCTCATTAGATCATTTTGAAGGGATGATCGATTGGGAGCTTAAAGATAGCGATTTTAGGGTCAAATCCATGCCAAGAGAAGCTAGAGATAGTGAGTTGTTAGGATTTTCCTCCTCTCCACATCAAGGTATTATTTCTCTATTTTGGGGAAATTGTTAGTTAGAATAGATTGGTTGAATTGATCAACCTATAACTTGATTATGATGTAGATGATAATGCTTAAATGCTTTAATCAATCTTAGAAAGTGATTCCTATGGTGTAATCAATCCAATGAGAGTTAGGGTTTGAAACCCTAACTAGTGATTATTTTGAATTGATGCATTAGAGTAGATTATAATGAATTAAGTAGTATGTGATGCTTAATTCATTATTTCAAGTAGATTAAGATTTAGAGAATGAAAAGATAAAGTTATGGTCCATTAAGTACTTATTTTGACTTAGAGAGTCTAAAGCTCTTAGTAGGATAAGACAAGTATTAAGATGCTTGTGTATTTGTATAAATAGGCCTAAGAGCAAAGAAGATGGATTCAGAATGCTTCAGTGATAGAATTGAAAAATGTGGGACAATTAGTCTTCACTAACTGATAAGGTGAGCTATTACTCACACACACACATTCTCTTTCTCTAGATTATTTTCTATCTCTCTCTCTCTCTCTCTCTATTTCTCTTTATATATATATATATAAAGAGAAAGAGAGAGAGAGAGAGATAGAAAATAATCTAGAGAAAGAGAATGTGTGTGTGTGAGTAATAGCTCACCTTATATATATATATATATATATGGGTGTGTGTGTGTGTGTTTGTATGTTGAATCTTGGGGAACTAAGTGAATGTATCTAAGTGATGAGATGAAGATATATGATTATACTTGTAAGAACATGTATCAGATTATGTACATATAAACTAGAGTATGTATGAGGTATATGTTAGAAACATATAGCAGAGTATGTAAGTATACCTCAAGTCTGTTAAGTAGATAAAAAGGTTATTTGCTAATACCGAAGAGATAGTAGATAAAGATAGAAGATGATGATTATATATAGTATAATCATAAGAATATGTAAGTATGTATAAACATGAATGGTAGTGTGTAGAGTACCAATATGTTATTAGATGCAGATGAAGAATAGGTACTAGAAGAGAAATATTAGACGATCTATTGATGAAATAAAGAGATAGATTATCCATGGGACAATTGTTATGTGACGAGTCACATAACAAAGATACAAATATAAAGATAAATGGTACTTTCGAGAAAAAGAGTATGGTTCCTACGGGGATAAGAGCATGGTTCCTTTGGGAACAAGAGTATGCTTCCTACAGGGATAATAGTATGATTTATTCGGGAATGAGATTATTGTTGGATTAGATGTCTAAGCCCATAAATATTATTGGTATGTACTCGACCTGAGAGTAGCATGGTCCATTTGGGTTGCATATCATCAGGACAATTTGTTAGGATGGAGAGAAGGTTATATATGATTTATTAATATATTATAAGTTCTAATTTACTAATATGAAATCATGTATTTTAATTAGTATTGATAAAGAATTAACTTGGAATTAATTTAGTGATAGTCACAAAACTTGAGAGGGAACAATCAAGATTGAAACATACCATTAAAAAGTTCAATGAATCTCAAAATATCTAGGAGTTTCAAATCCAAGTAAAACCTAATAAATTGTTTTGTTTTTCATGGTGGAAATTCGTGAATCGTCATTCTCCTACCTTCAAATATTTTATAGCTTGGATTACGGCATCCCTCTTCCAAGTTATAAAATATTGTGTTGGGTCCTAGCCTTAATATTTCATATTGAGTGTTATATTAATGACTTTAAATCAACTAACTTGAATTTCTCCCATTGTAGTTGTCTGGTTCAGACAACTATGATCATTCCAAATCCCTTGGAACAAGCTTTCAT